GAGAGTTCACCGGAGCATCTCGGCCGAAGGGTTGAAGGAGTTACAGAGCTTCTTGGACAATTTGAAAGTTTAAACATGGTGAGAGACTTAGCTTGGTCCATTTTTCCCTGTGTTTTTTTTTTCCAGGTTATAACTATTTTGTAATTTGGTAGAGATCCTAGAAGAGAGAGATCAACTGTCCCAACTGTAACATATGCGGCATTCAGACGTTTTTGCTTCGTTAACCTTGTTTTTAGCTTCTTAGTAACCTTAGTCTATGTTTTACAACATTCTTAACATCATGGGTGACAGACATTTGCTGGTGTTTTCCTTGACTTCTTATGAACATATCGGGGTGTTTGGTAAATAGTTGATTGAGTTATTGAGTTTTAGTAGTTAATAATATTAGTTGATTGTAGGAAAATATTTGGTAAATTAACTATTAACTGATTACATGTAAAATGAATTTCTTAAAAAATTGATCGAAAAAGTTATCTTGAGTAACTTTTTCAATTTTAACATTTCGAATTAATAAGTTGTTGCAAAAAGTTAATTAATTCAACGCTCATTGATTATTTAACTAAATCAAACAGTTTAATGATTAAATAAGTAAAATTGAGTAATAAGCTAATTATGTTATCAAACATGGTCATCTTTTTTATTTTTTATGGAAAGGTGTTAGATATGTGATTGAATTTATAACTTTTGTGTATTTGGACCCTAATCAAACTTTAAATTGCGAGATATTTTATCCATTAAATTTTTATATTATGAAATTTGAGTTGAAAACATGATTTAATTGCTCGAAATAAATATAAATTTAAACACTTTTTTGGACGTCAATTGTATTTGGACCCTAATAAGCCTTAAATTGAGATGTTTTATGATTATATATCTATATTTTTATATATATAACTTGGATTAAAAACAGGACCTAATTGCTCGAAGTAAATATAAATTTAAACACTTTTTGGTCGTCAACTGGGCCGGTTGCTCGGGGTAAAAAGAAAACTAATTTCGCCGTCTGTGGGGATCGAACCCACGACCACGTGGTTAAAAGCCACGCGCTCTACCACTGAGCTAAGAAGGCGGGATGCTTATACTATTGTAACGCATGTAATTATACTTAGTAAGTTTTGTGACATAAAAAAACCAAATTTGCACGTGGCAATTGATAAGTTTCATAATTATTTTTTTGCCAAGACGTGCAAGCAATAGTTGAAAAGTTGGTGTGCAGTGTTGAAATTGCTAACCTTTTAAACGGGTCAAATAACTGAAAAACAAAACTAGTACAAGTTTGAAGATTCCAACAGCCTTTTTGTTTTTATTTCTTCTTCTCCCTAAAAATTTTATCTCCAACACCAAGAATCCCACACTTTAACCCAGCAGAACATTTGAAAGAATATAAATTACATTGACTCAATGACTCAACAGACAGCACTAAATGTTGGTGTGCACAAAGGATCTGTCCACTTTAGACATAATCTCTACACCGCCGTCGAAGTTTGAATATTAGTCTTTTCTCTCCAAAATTACCTACTGAATCATTAAGCTAAGTCGGTGCAAACAATTGAATTATTTTCTACGTTATTTTTATTCCACAACATCATGTTTTTCATGCATTGCTGATATTGTTGACATTGTACGTTGCAAAATAATATTATGTATATTTTTGTTCTATGTTTTCGACCATGCATGCAAGAAAATTTCACTTGCTTCCACTAATACCCATGTAGTCGAGTTGATATTCGGTTTTTTTTTTTTTTAAATTAAAATTTTAAATTCAAATCCACTTCATATATTGTAGAGTTAAGTGTAAATTTTACAAATTCAATATATGAGTAATGTATTTAATGATTACAATTACTTAAAGGTACAGTCTGATTATGAGTGTAATAGATAATGAAGGTGTTTGGTAAATAGTTGTTAGCTGATAGCTATTAGCTAATTGGGTTAGTGAGTTTGACTAGTTGATAATATTAGCAGATTGTAGAAAACTGTTTGTTAAATTAGATGTTAGCTGATAGCTGATTACATGTAAAATTACTTTCTCAAAAAGCTTATCGAAAAAGCTACTTTGAGCAACTTTTTGAATTTTAGCATTTTGGAGCAATAAACAGTTACAAAAAGCTATTTACTCAAACACTCATATTGATTATTTAACTAAATCAAACATCTAATAGTGGTCAAATAAATCAAAATTGACTGATAAACTAACTATATTACCAAACAGGATCAATAAAAATAGTCAAGGAAAGAAATAAAATATATATTTTATGTTTTTTTTTTTTCCTATTTGCCTAGGCCTACCACAAAACTAAGTAATTTATGGGTTGAAAATTAAAAAAAGTATGTGAGAATAGATTATGAAATTGAGAGGTCGAGTCGCAAGTACCCTTTCTGTCTCATATAGCTTCCAATTAATAAGTAAAAATATATAATACATAATACAAAGCTTTAATAGATTATTAACTCGATAAAACACATCAATCCGCTTACAAGCCCGTCCCTTAAATTAAACTAGTGTACGAGAAGTAAAAAATGATTACAATCGAAAATTGTATCGAAAATGGTATCAATCTTAATTACATTGGCACGTTTGGTAGCATAGATGGCTGATTATTAGTATTTTTTCTTATTTGACCAGTATTAGTTGTTTGATTTGGTTAAACAACTAATATTAGTGTTTGAGAGCGTAACATCATTTTGCATGTAATAAACTATCAGTTAACTGCTAATTTACTAAACATCTTTCTACAATAAGTTAAGGGAAAATGACACTTTTTCTCCCTAAGATATATATTTATAGCACTTTTTCTCTCTGAATTATTTAAGTGGCTCGTTTTCTCCCTGAAATGTTAAATGGACATATTTACCCTTAAAATAAATATTTAAAATTAATATTTCATTTATTTTTATTCTCCAACAAATTATTACTATAATTTGATTCAAACCAAACAGATACTATAGCAACCAAACCAAAATATTCCAATTACAATTTATAATCAAAACACGATATTTAGAGTTTATTAAAATCGCGAACCGGAATGACTGACTCATGTTCCGAACTGAAAAAATAAAATACATTTATTGTTGAATTTAACTATTTTAAAATAAAAAATAAAATTTTAAAATAAAGACGGTTCAAAATCGCGAACTAGATCCGGAACCGCCGGTTCACGGTTCATGATCCAGTTTTTTTTTATTATTCTTAAATTTAATAAATTAAAATCCAAATATTGGATTCTAGATCTGAATCATAACTAAAAACTTTTAATTCGATTGCTATAGTGTCTGGTTCAGTTCGAACCGAACCGTGGTAATCGCTACATAAACGCAATAATTTGTTGGAGAAGTGAAATAAATAAAATGTTTGCTTTAAGGATAAAAATGTCAATTTAATATATTTGGGGGAAAAACCACCACTTTTAAAATAATTGAGGGGGCTAATGTGCTTACATAAATAATTGAGGGGGAAGAAGTGCTAAAAGTATATAATTTAGGGAGAAAAAATGTCATTTTCCCATAAGTTAATGTTATCAAGTAGTTAAACTCATTAACTCAATCCGCTAATAGTTATTTACCAAACACTCCATTATATCAAGAATCACGGACTTACTAACTTATCCTTATTATTATTAGTTATAAAACTCTCAAATCAATATATACTCATGGACGGAAAGAATCTTCTTCTATTACACACTGCACGGCAAGTTAGGAAAGAAAATTGTCTTTCTCTACTAAAGGTTAAAGCCCAAAGAAGTATCTTCTTCATACAAACAAGGAGGACCACCAATCCAATTGGCTTCTTCTCTCAACTAACGTAAACTGACCAATGACTTAGCCAAATTATGAGCTTTAGTTGACGTTAACAACAAATTTATCAAAATTTCTTAAATTAAATTCACCGTACTTCACGCCTGCAAATCCTCTCTTTCTATCTGTTTGAAAGGGGATGAAAATAGAGGTTTTAGATCTGAAAAGTTATAAAACCATTGCACCTCAATCTCGAAGGTCCATACAGTTTATGCCCGGAAGATTTGATGAAGGAAGTAAACTTGATCAACGATTTAAATGTTTTCAAGGAAGTAGACTTGTATATTAGTGCTCACAACAAAACCAATTCCATATCGTTCCTGATGTAACAAATACGCGTATTATGCTCGTTTGCGACAGTATGGTCTCGGGTAGCTGTAGGTGAGGTCAGACGTTCCCGAGATTAGGTATTATCTTATTGAAAGTCCGAAAAAGGCCCCCCTTCAAACATTTAATGCGCTTTATATAGAAGTTTGGGGGAACACATGACGAGCGTCTGGCATGCCAGCCACATGTCCTCCATGCACCAGTCATGATGACGGCAATCCTATTAGTTCCATGTGTCTTGAGATTCCTGATAACCGCACAAAGATATGATGATGTGATCATACAATGCGTTAGGGTTGTATTTCTACATTAGTAATAAGGTCTCATGTTCGGGAATAACCTTCCCGACCACATGAGGTTGGAAAAACTGTTCCGAGTGGAAAACATGCTCAACTAAACTGGAGAACCCCTTTCTCGCCCCGGCCCAGTTCGGGAAAAAGACAAAGCCAGTCGGGTATGTTTAAGAAGTGAATCCAACGATCCCGTGTGTAATTACAGAGTGCGCAATTACATATACGAGTAAGGTATAATCTCTATCCGTTTCCTTGATAGAAACCAAACCCTGCATTTTGTGACTGTCAGCGAAACACTATAGTACAAATAAAATAAATCAAAATTAAAAACTAAAAATAAAACGTTTAAAAATCAAGAATTAAAAATAAAATAAGTCAATATTAAAAACTAGAAAGGAAAAATGTCACTATCATATATCAAAGTCAAATAATGTACTCAATTTAAAATTAGGTGCCACGAAGGGTCTTAGGGTGCAATTTGCATCTATACATGAGTGTATGTATGACCATAACAAAAAATATATATATTAAAAATGATAATAGTACAAATTAAAGTATAGGCCTATATATATGTGTTTGTGTATCTTTTGGTTTGATAGTTTCATAGGAGAGAACCAAGATTGGCAAAAAGGTGAGATCAGAGATCAAAGTAAAGAAAGAAAAGATCGAAGAGAATCAATGGCTCTTTCTACCAATTGTTGCCTTCATCTTTCCTCTCCACCACCTACTTCTAACTCGGTATCCCCTCCTCCCAAAACTGCACCAATGGTTAGGTAAGTCTTTTAATTTCAATACATTTTTTTTATTATTATTACTGACTCTGTTACAATGTAGTATCTGTTCAATACATATCTAATGTAACATACGATACATGCATGAAACATAGGCAATATAAGTACTCAATTGGCATTTGGTTATTGTGTTTCTCAGGCAACAAGAAGGCAGGCCATGGCAGAATCAATTGGTAATAGGGATGGCAAGTGTTATACTCGGACAAGAAATCGGCGGCGCAATAGTAGTAGGTGACCAAGAAATTGCCCTCGCCGCCGGAGAAACGGCGCAACAATTAGCCGGAAAACCAAGAAAAAACGTCCAAATTAGGTGGAGCGAGAAGAGATCATGCCCGCCGTGGCAGGCGAATTCGCTGGAGACGATCGTGCCGGAGAACCTCCCGAGGCCGTCGAGCAGCCGGAGATGGGAGATCGTCGGTTACTCTTCGCAACCGGCGCCGTCGGTAAAATATGTTAGCAAAATTAAGCAGTGTTTTTCTTTATAAATTGATAAAAATTATTTTAGAACATGTAATTAATGTATGAATGATTGATTATTAATGATTATGACTTCCGAAAGCTTTTATGTTTTCTTGCTCTTTGCATGTTGTAGTACACAATCAGGTTTCAAAAAATCCAACGTAGTACATGTAGTACAAAAAGATCTTGAAGAATACTTCATTTGTGGGACCATCTATAATAATGTTCAACAGTTTATACACTGTTTTTTAACAAACTTTACGTATGTGGTCTATATAGGTAGCTAAATAAGTTCTTAAGTGGTATATTATAGACAAAGATAAAGAATCAAAATTTGAAAGTTACAGAGTTATACTTAATATGGTGAATTTCTTGTAAGCACCATACATTGATCTTCCCATTTAAATAGTCGTTAAATTATCATAATTTATCTTTCTATTTATCATTTAAAGTGGGTAGATCCCTTGTATGTATTGACATTTTGTCAGACATGCTGAGTCACTGAACTATCGTGATTTACCTCCTCCCACATGCTTTATGGGGCTAGGACGTGAGGAGCCTGATTGGCGATTCAACCTTTTGGGAGAAGAAGAATGAGAGAATTTTTACTTTTTGTGGATAAACTGTATCATATTATTATATACCTGTAACTATCATATTATGTGTCAGCAGTTATCAAAAAATAACTTTTAGATTCTGTATCTATATATAGTTGACACATTATGTACTTGCAGTTGATAGTTTATGTACCTGTAGCTATCATATTATGTGTCAGCAATTATAAAGTTATTTATTTACATATACAAAAACTATTAACTGTAAATAAAAAATGTACAAAATTTTTATATCAAAGTTCAAAATACAATATGAACCGTGGTCCATGGTATAACAATCGCCTAAAGCCCAAAGTCACAAAATTATAATATAAAAAGAAATGGACCGTCATTTACTATTAACTGTAAATAAAAAATGTACAAAATTTTTATATCAAAGTTCAAAATGCAATATGAACCGTGGTCCATGAATAGTTATGATGTGCAACCGAATGTACCATGCGCATGGTGCATACGGTTCAAAACGACGTCGTTTTGATTAAAAACGCGCGTCCCACTTAAAAAAAAAAAAATCAGGTTTGACTCTCAGCAATAGCATTATTGTGGATATATAGTTATGAAATTGTGGATATATAGTTATGAAATTGTGGTTATATAGTTATGAATTTATGGATATTTAGTTCATTCATTGTGGATATTTAGTTCAATCATATATTGTGGATATTTAGTTCATTCATTGTGGATTTTTACTTCATTCATTCATTCATTGTGGATTTTTACTTCATTCATTCATTCATTGTGGATTTTTACTTCATTCATTCACTGTGGATATATAGTTATGAAATTGTGGATATATAGTTATGAAATTGTGGTTATATAGTTATGAATTTATGGATATTTAGTTCATTCATTGTGGATATTTAGTTCAATCATATATTGTGGATATTTAGTTCATTCATTGTGGATTTTTACTTCATTCATTCATTCATTGTGGATTTTTACTTCTTCATTCATTCATTGTGGATTTTTACTTCATTCATTCACTGTGGATATATAGTTATGAAATTGTGGATATATAATTATGAAATTGTGGTTATATAGTTATGAATTTCTGGATATATAAAAATGCTATTGCCGGGAATCGAACCTGATTTCTTCTTTAAGTGGGACGCGCGTTTTTTTAACCAAAACGGCGCCGTTTTGCAACCGTATGCACCTTGCAAGGTGCATTCGGTTGCACAGCATAATTTGCGGTGGTCCATGGTATAACAATCGCCTAAAGCCCAAAGTCACAAAATTATAATATAAAAAGAAATGGACCGTCATTTGGTGATTTGGGCCGGAAACCCATTAAGTACTGGTTGAGCCCAAACCCATTAGCGTTTGGTAGCCTAACATGGCAAATTATGACCTGGACCCGTGTCTACAATGAATTGTGGACACGGACCCAAAACGAAGTTGTTTTTAAAAAAAAAAAACGCATCATTTAGTTAAAAAAAAATTGCGCGTGTTTGCCTTTAACGGCGTTAACGGCGTTATTTTTTTTTTGGATTATGAATGTACAGTTATGTCGTTATGAATGTACAGTTATACAATTATGAAATTATGAACACAGAGCTCTAACATTATGAACTTACAATTATGAACTTATAGTGATAAAATTATGACCATGGAGCTTTAAAATTGTGAATATAGAGTTTCGAAGATTATGAATGTACAGTTATGGAGTTATGAATGTATAGTTATGGAGTTATGAATCTACAGTTATGGAGTTATGAATCTACAGTTATGAGATTATGAATCTACAGTTATGGAATTATGAATGTACAGTTATTGATCGAATTATGAACAAAGAGCTCTGAGATTATAAACTTACAATTATAAACATATAGTGATAAATTATGAACATAGAGCTCTAAAATTGTGAACATAGAGCTTCGAAAATTATGAATGTACAATTATGGAGTTATGAATGTACAGTTATGAAGTTATGAATGTACAGTTATGGAGTTATGAATGTACAGTTATAGGGTTATGAACGTACAGTTATGGAGTTATGAATGTACAGTTATAGGGTTATGAACGTACAGTTATGGAGTTATGAATGTACAGTTATTAACATATAGTAATAAAATTATGAACATATACTCTTATAACAAAGCGGTTTGAATTCTTAAAAAAAAAAAAAAGAAAGGAAATAATAGTTCCTAACGGCACTGTTACCTGTGTCCAGCATGCATGCTGGACACGGGTCCATAGCATAACGATTGGCCTAACATCCAACATTTTGCCAATAGCCCAATATTGGCAAAGCATGCATGTTTCCACTATTTATATGCATTACAATGGCAATTGGCATGCATGCATTGACACATCAACGTCTTTGGATGAGCTATCATAAATAGGATCTAATCGAGATTAATTTTATATTGCAGGATGTAAATACTAAATATTAGTGCAGTATGTAGCCTAAAAAAAAAGGAAATAAATATTTAAAAAAAAACTCTATACACTCATCTCTAAATCTTCCATGCATGTATACTATTGTATCCACATAACATGCACGCCATTGAAGTACATATAGATGTAGATATATTAGAGGTGTCAAACATACGGGTTTGGATTAATTCAACCCAGCTCGTTTATTGTTTGGACTGTGTTGGCTTGGCATGTGGAAAAGAAATGCTGATTTGGCTTAATTCATTGATGGGGAATATTTCCTCTGCTAACCTAGCTACCTGTACGTACCACTTACCTGCTTGGTACCCAGTCAGCTTCCCGAGAGGAATCATCACTACTACAGAAAAGGACTTTAACGTCGGTCTTTTTACCCCATTTAACGTCGGTTTTCGACCGACGTCTAGGTAGGAGACGTCGTAAATAATGAGATACGACGTCGGTTGTAAATAATGAGATACGACATCGGTTAAAAAAACCGACGTCGTATAATTTTTAAATTTTTAATATTAACATACGACGTCGGTTATTAAGTAATAACCGACGTCGTATATTTTTAAAAATATTTTTAATTAAGAAACGACGTCGGTTTTTTAACGTATATTTAAAAAAATTAAATAAATTCGCATAAGACGTCGGATTTTATGTAAAAACCGATGTCTTATGTTCACTTTAAAAATAAAAAAAATAAACGACGTCGGTCGTTTATTTTTTTTTATTAAAATTTAAACGAGAAAGAGAGTACCAGACAAGAACTCCTCCCAATAGCACTGTAAATGGATATAGCTACCATGACATTGGGTCAAAACCTATAAGTCACTGGAAAATTAATACAAAGTACTTTAATAATCTACGAACCACCCATACCATGGCCAATGCAAGCAACATACTTCATCTTCTTGTCTGAACAACCTGCAGATGATGCTGAAAATGCTGAGGTTTCCATAGTGAAAGATAGAAGAAAAATCTCAAGTTTAGATGCTATACATGCAAGGGGTTCCACAGTAAAACTAGTGCTCTGTTGAATTTCTTCAATTTCCAGATAAGCATCGGAAGGATCTTCTATCATATGTTCAATGCTTGACAAATCACTTTTACCACCTTTATAAACATAATAAATAGAGGCAATGTATAAGCAATATGAATCCGTTCATTAGTTGCTAATAATTAATTTCTCTCCACATAAAAGATCACCCATCTATATAACACTATTATCTGAATGATCACTGCCATGTCTGTCAAAATTAATTTCTCTCCACATAAAAGATCACCCATCTATATGACACTATTATCTGAATGATCACTGCCATGGCTATCAATACAACGGAGGTGGATGAGTGTAAAGATGTAAATAAAATAATCGTCATATGTTTGGAATGAAGTTTAAAGCACTCATAAGAAAATCCATATTTTCACCTTGCTCCCATAATGACAAGGTCCATAGTTTTCAGCATCATGTATGAATTATTAGTATATAATAATTTAATTAACAGACTGCAAAATAATCTTCCTAAGAAAGAGATCATCCTTTTCTTTCTATCAAGACGAGCAACATTCAACCATGGAACCTCCGATCCTAAAAGCAACAACAAGGGAGTAGCCCAATTATGGGAGAGATGAGAAAAGGATAACATTTGAATCAGATTGTCATACTTCAATTGAAAGAAAGTCCAAACCAAGTACACATTGAGAACGCAAAAGAGAAAATGGTTAATAATTGCAATTTCCACCTAAGCCAAAATTTGATAGGTATCATTTCCTAGCATGCATATTGAATCGGCCAATTATGGATTAGCTGGTCCTTAAATTATCTAGTTTCTTGAGAAAATCATCTTAAACTTAAAATAGCATACCGTATAACTTTATTTTCAACTAAGTGGCTTATGTGCAATGGCCACTGAGGTAGATGAAACAAGATATGAGTAAGGAGCAGACCATGTAACACCACTACTGGAAATTCTAAAATTTCCGACCACCTGAAAATGATCTTAAATTAAGTTGATACCAAAAAGTCCAAAAAGTGGTGGGAAATAGCAACAAAGGTTTTTCCGGATACCAAAAGTGGTCGGAACAAGACTTTCAACTTGATTTAAGATCACTT